GATGTATATGAAAGCACAAGCTCTATATTAAAATCTTATTAAAATGAATCTACTCCTTCTACCTCATTAGAAAATTTAATAATATATGAAATATGCTAATTTTGTTCATTTCTAAAGTTTTCTGCTGGACATCCGAGTCCATCATCTCTATTATCAGTGTGCACGGGTGGATCACATTGTTTAAGTGCCAAACTGGACCGAACATTCATTATTTAGGACTTTAAATTCTTTCCTGTAAGGTCCTGATGATCAAGTAAACTGTATGTGTATATAAGACTTTGTATAATACTAATAAAACAAATAAGACAGGAGTCAAACAATTGGGAAATGCTCAACCCTTCGGGTCCCAAGGACAGGTTCCGAACCGATTTGTTTTCGGGTCCAAATGTTCCGAATGGTTCAAAATTAGGTGCACGAACCTGAACCTGGTTTTTCGGTGCTTAAAACCGCAAATAAATATTTTTATATATCAAATAAAAGGTGGGAAAAGTGTCAAATAAGTGATTTTAATGTTTATTTGTCATCATTTTGTGGTTTGGGAAGCAGTGTGAAGGTGTCACTTGGAATTATTGTGATCATTTCTCACTATTTTCAGAATGTTTATGTATATAATGTTTTTTTTTTGTTTCCAATCAATCAATCAATCAATTAATGGAGAAAATATTAATTAGTTGCAGTCTGATCTGATCTCAAAGTCCTGTTTTTACATTAATGCATGAGTCATAATAATCAATATGAACACAGTTTAATACTTTAACTACATTTCCTCATTATACTTAAATACTTTTCAAATGTAATCGAGTACTTTTACCTCAGTGAAGGATCCGAGTACTTCTTCCACCACATTAACATAAACTTAAGTGATAATTAAATTAATGTTTCACCTCTGTTCCCCACTGCATTATGCATGAATTAACTTGATAAAAGCTTATATGTTTAAGCCTTTTTAATGACGGCGAACGCAGCTGGAGACATTTCTGCTAATTCGGCTCAACGGGGGGAGGAAGGGGGTGAGGTAATGGTGGCGAGGGAGCGGCGGATTCAGGAGAGCTCGTGGTAAAACCCGAATTAAAGCACTGCAGACCTCAGGTGACCCTCCGAGAGGAAATAAAAGTCCTTTAAACCTGAGCGGAGGCGGACCCCGCCACCTTTATTACAGCTCGTGTTGTCTTTATTACTAGACATTAAAAACCCATATGGGCCGTAATCGAGCTTAATAAACGCCACCGCTCACGCGTGAAGGGCGGGTGGGGGGGCTGGATGTCTGTTTACCTTGTACATGTGTTTAATTAGCCTCTGCCACGCTAAGCCGTGTGTCTGGTTTCGCTGATGTGAGGAGATGAAAGCGAGAGTAATTAGATCTGATGGCAGGAGGACGGGCTGGAAGCGCCGCACCTGCAGCCGTTGCAGACACGAGTCGGCGTTCACCTGCCGGCGGGAAAGCGTGACACCTGGGAGCGTTCGGCTGAGGTAAAATGTCACAACTCAAAGAGCCAGAGGACCAACGAGGAGCTGATAATGGACGTCGTTAGAGTCGCGATGTGCATCTGGCTCACAGGTTAAAATAAATTAATTAGTTTGAAATTAATTAGATTCGTAATAAACGGTCATGGATGAAAAAAAAAGTTTATGAAGCTCTTTTTATTTTATTTCTGCCCAATTAATCACATTTCTGACACAGTTCAACCACCAGAAGTCCACAAAAATGACTCTTAATCAATATTATCAGGTTTATATTGATCGTTTTATAGGCTAACATTAGCATGAAGCTAACATATCGCTGTCATTCACTGTTTAAGTTCATCCAGCGGCTGTTGAAGGTACTTCAGTCAGTTTTTGATGTCAGAACTTTCTCCCTGACTCCGTCGGTGTGACAGTCCAGTCTTCGGAAACCAGATTAAAGGGAATTCTTTCATTATTTATCAGCTGCCAGCCGGCATCACCTGCCACAGACCTTTGAAGACGGGGGCGGCTTTGATGGAAGTGAAATTTCACTTTCTGGTGTCTCCCGTCCGGCCTCGTCTGGTCTGTCACATCGGTTCCTCTGAGTGGGAACGCCGGAGGACGACTCTCAGGGTCGGGAAGAGTGCGACTGAAGGACGACTGACAGCGTTCCACAGCTTAAAGCCCGGCAATGATCAGAATCTGAAATCAATAAAGGATCAGTTTGATTACCTACAGTATGGATCCGACACCCTGTTCCCCTCATTGATCCTCTGATCCGCCACTTTGAACAAACCGATATCGATAAATTCTGTGGTGGAAACACGGGCAGCATCTCAATCCAGATAAATATTATATTTATAATATCCTGTTAATATAATTTGAGCCTGAGACTGAACTGCTTTTCTTTTAACGTTGTTAATTCAGCGTTCATATTATTTATTAATCAATCAATCAATCAATCCATCAGACTTTTATAGCAGTTTTTATACAAGCAAAGCACACTGTAACGCACACACACATAGAGAGGTAATACATGTTTTTGTGGACAATAAAACTAATACTAATAAACCAAATTAAGTCAGATATATAAAAACATAAAGCAATAAAACAGATTAAAATGTCTCCACTTTAATAATAATGGATGTACGACAATGGACGAATGCGACTATAGCAGGCTGATTAGATCATTAACTGCTTCTAAAAGCTGTTAAATCATCTCTTTTATGAAGTGAGTTCTGTAAGGAGACAAAAGCCTGTTAACCTAAATGCTTTTATTGTGTCTCAATCATAAAGTATTTAAAATGTCTACGTTGTTTTATCTCCTCAAAATGGCTGCTTTAACCTGTTCAACGATGCAGAAACAGCAGTAAAAATGTTCAGGAAATGTTTATGTGTATAAATTATCTTATAATTCTCACAGTGAATTGAGTCAGTGAGTTTTTAAAAAGTTGATCCTTCAGTTTACGTTTCTTTTTGCTTTATATTTTCCCTGAACCTGCTCAGTTTTTTGTTTATTACACAGCGGTGTAAATGTGTCCCTGTACGTCGTCCAGTGATGGATTTGTTCCTGTGGGACATCGTCCATTGTTTGAATACCCTGATTGGACCCGTTAGCTGTGTCTGTTTGGCCATTTATTCACAGGAATTACAAAAACAGAGCAAACACTTCGAGCTCCGAGGTTTAATAATGCGTCTGACTGATGGCGTCTGTGCACAAACTGCTGCTGTCTGAGGTCTGAGCTCGGTTTGGCCCGCGGCCTGTCGAGGTGCCAACTGGCTGTAAATCCAGAGCTCAGCAGGCCAGTTCGCTCTGAGACAGCTGCAGGCAACATCTGTAAGTCCACACGTTTTCATATTATGACCTGCAGCTGGACTGAGTCTGCTGGCAGCACTGAACTGACTCTTATGTTAAAGGAATCTTTTTCACGTTTCTTGGACAGTAACACTCTACAGTACTGGTCCCCAACCTTTTCTATCATTAATGAACTGACTCAGTGACATAGTTTATGGATATTTCTAATTATTTTAAAACCGTACAATCAACACAAACTGAACTCAGTAACTGCAGGAAGTTTTCAACCAGAGATTTGGATGCATTTTGAGCAGATTATTTCCTATTTAGGAAACTTTTTATACAATTCTGTCTGTATTATGTATTTTTAATCATTTCAAACAATCAAAAAGACTTAATAAGCTTCTTTTCGGACAAATTCAGTTCACAGAAGTGAACCAAATACTGAGATATTGACCTACTGTGTGTATTTTTTAAGTTTTACCCCTTAGAATCAAGAAGGCCTTGCAACCACTGACCTTAAGTACAATAATTAAGTAATAAAAACATATTGTTGATGTTGTTATTTTAGAATCACTCTTCAACTGTAAAATACGTCATGATGATGATGATGATGATG